CTAGATGTTTAAATGACTGGTTCTTTCTTATCTTTTAGATCTCAGCTCAAGCCACACTCTTCTGAGAGGCATTTCCTGGCCCTTCCTCCCTTCTCTCACTCTCACCCATATCCCCATATCGTTTATTTCTAGCACGTATCATTAGCTTAAATTCTCCTTTACTTACCTGCTTATTGTCTGTGTCTCCCACTGGAACATAAGCACCATAAGAGCAGAAATGCTGATTTACCCTAAAGTTACTTTACTTGTTAACATAAAACTCAGGCTATTTGCCACTTTCATCTTGTCCTATTATTAAGGGTAAAAGTTGCCCACTAGTAGGGGAAATTTTGTGGGGAGGTGATTTCTGTGTAGCCCCAACCAAGCGTGGAGTTGGCGGTGTCTTACCGGAGATTGGAATCTTATGCGATTCATCAAAACTGTGCAGAGGAGCTGCTTTGGGCCTAATGGGTGGATTCTTGAAGGTAATCTTTGCTGTTGGGGGGATCAATCCTCGTTCTATCATGTTTAAAATTCCTAAGAAAGAAGGTTAACAGAATTTGAGGTTAACTAAGTCATTTCACCAATGTGATCTCTATAAACTTCACAAGTATAACTTACTCCATTCGTCATCTTATTTGTAAGGGTACAGCTAGTGCCTTAATCCTTTGCATAAAAAAATATGGCTAGTATGCGTTCATTTAAGCTTAATATTCTAACCCAAGGAAAATGTCATTTCCAATAGCAGTAATATGAAATAAAATTGCACGAAGGTAATTTCATTTTAAGGTAGAAATATAATTTCACAGCAAACTAAAACTTCTTGTACTTATGACATTCTCAATCATTGGTAATATTGTTGCTCTTTTTAAAATTCAGAGAAATTGGGCACACATTCTTAATAACTAAGGACATTCTTTGTTTGGAAAGAAAGAAGAGAAAACCTGTGTGCTTGAAACCATGCCCCTGTTGTTAAAATCAGTCATACTTTATCAAAGAAGGAGTTATCTCCAGACATTTCTCATTTCACCAGAAGATATGAATGTTCCAATGGGTTATTTCAGTGTAACTGAGCAACCCCGTTAGTATTAGTGCAACTAATTTACAATTTCTAGAACCCATACTGTGTCAGCAAGGCTGGAGCCAAGCCTTTTTAAGGACAAGAGACATTGTTAAATAAGTAAACAAATTAATAAATCAATGAATACATGAATAATTGAACAAAGCCTGCTGCTGGGGGCAGAACTTTCATTAAGGTAGATCTATTGTATCAAAGCCAGAAACCCAGAAACTTGGGGACTATTTGTAATGAATTTGTGGTAGGATTTCAGTTTCTCACCATTCTATTACATAATAGAAAGGAAAATTAGAAATTCTGGATCTCAACAAATTTCTAGTATACAAATGGTATACCAAGCTGGATTAAGTTGAAGGAGTTGTCACTCATTCTAAGTATTATTTCCATTTGCTTTAAGACCTCTGTAACTATATATTTTTTGCTTTTAAAGATGTTAGTTTTGTGTTTCAGGAATTCAGAAGAATCATCACAGAAGGGTTGGAGAGCTGATGAGGACATTGCTTATCAAACAATGATTCCAGAGAGAAATCTCCAGTTTACCTAGAGCAGTTCACTTGGAGGAAGATTTTCATACTGAAAGTGAAAATTCCTGGGCCCCATTTCAGAGTTGTCCTAAAGCTTGAGGTCAGGGCCTGGGGATCTGCATTCTTGGAGTCTCCAGGAAGTACTTAGGAACACTGAAGTTTGAGAATCACCAGAATTGGGGCCCAGAAACATATATGTTAAATAAACACTCCAGGTCGATCTTTCCTACTTCAAACTTAAGAACTACTGATCCAGTGTACAACTCTTTAAACCCTCTTTTAAATTAGTAAAAAGGTTTTAATTTTTATAACACTAGAACTGGTTGTAATATGTTCTTTAAAATAGCAGTGAGGTAGGATGGGAGACATAAGGAGAGGCTGAAAGGGGATCTGCAGGACAACACAAGAGTGCTATGATTTAAAGTCCACTTTCACGTGGATTAAAAGTCCAGATTTAATGGTCACTTTCACTTACCTTAATCACAAATAACCTATTTAATCATTGATGAGACCTCATCCACAGGTACACCAAGGGAGTACAGTTCAAAGTCACAAAACAGAATGCATCAAAAACAAAAGAATCCCTAGTCGGTCATGGTTAACATGTCTAGTTACCAACACAAAGGGGAACTAAAAATACCCTCTTCAATCTGTACTATAGATTTTACGTGTATAAATTTGCCTCGCTAAGATCTAGCTAGAATTTCCCTCCCTAATGCTGGCACCACCCTGTGTAGTGATACACTCTCACAGAGTGTATTTCTCTCAATAAAATAAGTGTATATTTTTCTTTGAACTGTTCCTGGATTCCTTTCTGCAAGGACGTCAAGAAGCTTCATGGCCTGAGTCAAGGTCCACTTCCCTTGGAGGAAACCTCCTCAGGCCCCCTGTCCCAGTGACAGCAACATTAGTTGTTTGTCTTCACAAATATTTTCCACCTGTAAATACCCAGTCTCTGCCTAAGAGCTATGCCTGTTTTGCAGAGGTGAGAAACAGAGCTCCTTAAAAATCATTATACTTTAAAGAGTCAGTTTCATTCTCTGAGAATTTTGAAAAATATAAGCATGATTTTAATCTTTGCTTTGATACTGGGT